TCATCATCATAACACATCATCATTTCACATTACCATATCACATTATCATGTCTCATTATCATATCACATCATCATGTCACATCATCATATTACATCATCACATCACATCACCATATCACATTATCATATTATCACATCATATTCACAATTTTCACATAGCACTTTAATTCATATAAAAACATATTCATTTTCAAAATTAACCACATACTCATGCATCACATCCAATAAGGAACAAAACAAAGCAATCAGAAGGCAAAACAAAAAACATTCCTATTTTGCCTGTTTTCTCATAGGGTTTCCCGTAGGAACCCACAGAAATCTCAAATCATACAATTACAATTTTAAAACTGAAATTAATCATTCATTTAAGCAATTTATACAATTAATTACATACAAGAGAAACAATAAATGAAACAGATACAATTGGGGAAAACCCCTCATACATGAGCATACAACAAATACAACAAACACAGGATTGGGGGCCAATCCCACTACTCAACATATATTCCCACACCCAAAGCGAGGTTTCTCACTCACCCCTTACCTGGATGAGCAGAAGACAAATGGTCTTGGTGTGATCTAAGATAGTTCCTGAGTACTCTTCCTTAGAGCTCTTTGTTTCTCCTCTTTTTTTTTCCTGACCCTTCAGAATGCAAATGAGGCAGATAGGGTTAACGCTACCTGACTCCTTTCTTAAAATTAATGCATTCGGCTGGGTCAACCCAACCCATTTTCCTTCTCTTCTAACCCACTTCTCTTTTTCCTGAAAATAATTAAATAAAATAAATACATGTATATTATAAAATATTTTTCCTCTATAATAATAATATACTTCTGACCCAATTTAATAATAGAATTTCAATAATAAAATATCATATAAAATCAACCTTCTCTTAAAACATATAAATATTTATTTAAAAATGCTAATAAAAATACTTATTTAATACGTACAAAATAATTGTCCAAAATAATAATTATTTAAAACGTACAAAATAATATTTCTCTATAATTATTAAAATAATCATAAATGACCAAATACCATATAATAATAATAATAATAATAATAATAATAATAATAATTATTATTATTATTATTATTATAATAATAATAACCTTTTTGAAAATAGGTGTGTTACAATACTTCTCCCTTTTTAAGAAATTCGTCCTCGAATTTCTAAAATGAAGAGGTTCGACTATGACTCTTTCATTAAACTCAAGATTCTTCCTAAACGTCCTAGGCAAACCCACAACAAAGTCTAAACACATTATCTCACCTCCAAACAGGGACATCTAAAGGTTACAAAAGTCCTAAAAGGCTTATGATGTTTTGTCTTAGACTTATACCATACTAAACATGAGTACGAAAACTTTCTCTGCTCCTCTCTTCACCTTAGGCCACCACGCTTTCGCTGCGCCACTCTGATACATCTTAGTAGCTCCTAAATGGATGTTAAGAGTACTCTTATGTCCTTCCTCTAAGATCATCTCTTAATTCGGGATTACTAGGCACCCAAATTTTGTTCTTGCACCTCAAAACAACGTCGATTCCTACTCAGAAAAGGTTACCTATACTCCTACCAATCTTTTTCACTTGGTTCACTAAGAAAGGATCTAACTCTTGGGCTTTTCTAATCTCATCCATTAATTCACTAGTCACTTTCAACATACTAAATTCAATGCTCCTAAGGGTAGGCTCACACATCACGCTTAAGTCTCTAAGTTGTTCAATCTAATCCAACCCTTAAATCATCAAAGATGGTAGGTGAATGGTCATCCCACTCAAGGCATCTGTCACAATATTAGCTTTTCTTCTATGACCCTCTCTAAAGATCAACCACCTAAGCATAAGTTCACTAGGTACACATACTCGGTCTCCAAGTCTTACCACTTCATTTATACCCAAGGCAAACTTCTCTCCATTATCTCGTCCTATAGCCTCATATCTTGTCACCAAAATGAATCAACCATAATACATCAGAATCAAACCCTAATAATAGTTTCCCCCGCCAATCTAGAAAAGCTGAAAGGGGGTTTTGAGTTTTAACCAAAGGAAGGTGCAAATGTTAATTCAAAAGACCCTAACTTTTCCAGACAAAAGTGAGAGTGCAATGATTTGGTCTCACCCCACAAGTTGTAATGCAGTCAAACAAAATGAGCTTATATCAGTCAGACATCCACAACACAAAAGAAAAAGCAGGAAGGAAAAAAAAAATAGTAAAATATGACTAGCTTTTTCCCCCCTTGGAAGTTCCTTTGTTCTTATTGTTCGTCCTATGTTTTCTGAAGAGGGTTTTTTAATTTTAAACCTTTCGGAGTGTGGATATGGATATTAAGGAAGATCAAAGTTGAAAAAAGTTACAGTTCTAGGAGTTTGGAGCATCCCAGATTCAAAGATGAATGTACACAAAATAATGTCTTGGAAACTAGAAAGATAAAATAATAACGTGGGGTGGATCTGCTATGGATTTTCTTCCCACTTCCACTCTCACATACAATGTTGTAGTATTTACTTTTACATACAAGTCAGTTTCGGATTTTTGCAGCACTGGGTTTGTATCCACTAAGGAAACTTCCATTGAAAATATGTAGAGAAAAATCAATGACACGTGCCTTGGAGATGTTTAATTCTTTATTATGGTGATCAACGATCGTAGTGAAAATTTTATTTAATTTTAACATAAAAAAAAAAAAAAAAATATATATATATGTATTTTCTGGTGGTCTGGTATGAAGAGGGAGATAGCTGAATATGTGGCAGCCTGTCTGACCTGTCAGAAGGCGAAGGTGGAGCATCAGAAGCCGAGTGGGTTGATGCAGCAGATGGAGATTCCAGAATGGAAGTGAGATAGTATCACTATGGACTTCATCGTCGGGTTTCCTAGGTCGGCTAGGAATAATGATGCTATCTAGGTGATAGTTGATCGGTTGACCAAGTGTGCACATTTCTTGCCTGTCAACATGAAGCGATCCTTGGAGAAGCTGACGCAGTTGTATGTGAGGGAAATAGTACGGTTGCACGGGGTGCCTTCCAGTATTATTTCAGACAGAGATCCGAGGTTCACTTCCAGATTTTGACAGAGTCTACACCAAGCCTTAGGCACGAAACTAAAGCTGAGTTCTGCTTATCATCCACAGACGGATGGTCAGTCAGAGAGGATAATCCAGTCCTTGGAAGATTTGTTGAGGGCTTGTGTGTTAGACCACTTGGGAAGCTGGGAGGAGGTCCTACCGCTGGTAGAGTTTTCTTACAATAATAGCTTTCATGCTAGTACTGGGATGGCATCGTTTGAAGCCTTGTATGGCAGGAGATGTAGGACTCCTTTGTACTGGTATCAAGATGGTGAGTCAGTGGTTGTGGGACCGAAGCTAATCCTACAGACTACTGACAAAGTGAAGATGATTCAGGAGAGAATGAAGACTACTTAGAGTAGGCAGAAATCATATGCTGATAAAATGCGTAAGCCTTTGGAGTTTGCTGAAGGGGAACATGTGTTTTTGAAGATGACCCCGACTTCTGGTGTGGGTAGAGCGTTGAAGGCAAGGAAGTTGACACCGAGGTTTGTTGGTCCCTATCAGATAATACAGCGTGTAGTTCCGGTTGCTTATCGGTTGGCCTTGCCACTGTCTCTTTCAAACCTACACGATGTATTTCATGTATCCCAGCTGAGGAAGTATATTCATGACCCTGGTCATGTGGTGGAGCTGGATGATGTGCGGGTGAAGGAGAATCTGACATTTGAGAAGTTGCCAGTAGCTGTGGTTGATCATAAGCTGAAGGAGCTGAGGGGCAAGTCCATTGCTCTGGTGAAGGTGTTGTGGGATGCGGCTACTAGTGAGGCTACTTGGGAGGTGGAGCAGCAGTGCAGGGAGCGGTATCCGTTTCTCTTCCCAAGTAAGTTTGTTTTCAGGGACGAAAACTCCTGTTGTAGGGGAGGTTATGAGACCCATTTCCCTCTCCTTTCTTCCTTCACTTTCACTCTAACTCTCTTTCTCACTCAGACTCTCACTTCTCCTCACTTGCCCATTTTCTTCCTTGTGGTGGCTGTGGTAACTTAGGTGTTGGTTAGTGGAATTCAGAGCTGGCTGAAGTTCTTCTTCCTCGTTTCATCTTTCCGTTCATTTTCTCCTCCGATCAAGCTTTCTTCTCCATTATCTTCTTCGTCCCGGAGCTTGGGATTCTTGTACCGAGGTAAGGGAAGTTAGTTTTGGCTGTGTTGATTGTTGGGAGTGAGCTAGAAGCTCACATATAGGCTGATTGTTGTGTATTGATGATTGAAATGGGAGGAAATTCGTTTTCGGGTTTTCCGGGGTTTGGGTGAAAATTTGGGGTTTTCTTTGAATTGTGGTTGCATGTGTGAAAAGATGATGTTTTTGAATTCTTTTATGGAAATGTGGACTTTTGGATGGATTGCATGTTGGTTTTCTAGTTGATTTTGCAGGATTTGATGAAGATTTTGAAAGTTTGAGGGTTGCTGCTGAGCATCGCGCTGAGTGTCGTTCTTCGTGCCGAGCGCGTGACCACCTAGGGGCTCCATTTAGGCAAGCCCACCAGGCGCAAAGATGTGTGCGTCGGGCGAGCTTGAGAATGTGAGCCTCTAGATGGCCCATGCCGAGCGCGACTTGGACCGCGCCGGGCGTGATATCAGGAGGTAACATGTTTGGGGTTTTCCAGTGCTGCGCCGGGCGCAACCTTGTCTCGCCGGGCGTGGAGACTCCTTGGGAGTCTCTGCCAAGGGGGCGCTAGGCGCAATTTGAATTGCGCTGGGCGCGAGACCTTGGGGAGGTCTCTGCCTTCCCTGCACCGAGCACGGGTTTAGGCACGCTAGGCACGTGAGACTCCTTAGAGTCTCTACCTAGGGTTTGCGCTAGGCGCAATTGGAATTACGCCGGGTGCATTTTGAGCCTTGAGCTCTCTGGCTAGTCTATGCTGGGCGTGGGGACTCTTATGCCGGGCGCGCTGGCCCCTGGTGCTCTCTGGTCGTGCCGCGCTAGGCGCGACCATGAGTGCGCCGGGCATGGAGGTGATGTTTAGTCACATGCTGATAAATGTGGTTATATGCTGTGCTTAGCTGAAATTGATGAATATGTTGTATTGTTAAATGTTACTGCTGAATTAAGATGTTTAAGTTATGCTGTGAACCGTGTTTAGTTGTTTATCTGTGCTGTGTTGTACTTTGAGCTATGTTAGCTAGGCTGTGAGTTCAGGAGAGGAAAGAGCTGCTGAAAGGGTCTTACAGGGATAGGCACTATAATGCAGGGTCCATACTTTTAGGATTTGGAGTGCTTGAGTCTGTTGGTGGAGGACTCAACACTTGGATTAGGACAGGAAAACTATTTCCAGGTCCACATCTGTTTGCAGGAGCAGGTAACAATTTTAAACTTGCATTTGGTCATAGAGGGTAAAGATTTTGAAAGATGAATTGAAATAGTTTCACAATTTTGTTAGCTTTTTCAACAGAATGATCAATTTGAAAAATATAACACTTATCTCTTGTATTGTTGTATTTTAGTTTTCAAAGTGGTGATCATAGTTAGGCAAATTTTGTGTGCAGCTATTACAGTGTTGTGGGCACTTTCAGCAGCTTTGGTACCATCGATGCAGAAAGGGAGTGAAACAGCCAGAAGTTTTCACATTGCATTGAATACATTAAACGTACTACTATTTGTGTCACAGATTCCCACTGGATTTGACATTGTACTCAAAGTGTTTGAGTTCACAAAATGGCCTTGAATGTGAATGTTCCCTTGGATTTGGATCTATTCCAATCCAATTTTTTGCAACACCTAATGTAACGCCCTCTACCCCGCATACCATAACACATAATAATAAAATTTGAATAACATAACATTTCATAATTAAATATCAAACATGTTCAGATAGAGAGTATCACATCCATAACTTAACAAAATTAGCAGAAATCACAAATAAATAAAACTAAAGTTTCCAAAATAATTTAATAAAAACATCTAAATCTAATCCTATCTACGCCCGATGTCACATGTCCTATAAGAGAAAATCCCAATATAGAAGCCTAATCTTCATCACCAACATCTTCAGCCTCATGCTGATAATTACCTGTAAGACAGTCAAGGAAAAACAACACGAGAAAAGGGAGTGAGAAACATCTCACTCTGGCTCACAGTGTAAGAATATACACCAGATAGCAAAACACAAACAAAACATATATAACATAGATAAATTAATAATGATATCACATTTCACTCATTCAAGAAATATAATATTAAAATGCACATGGATGAACACGGACTACATTTTATCATGCATGTGGCGCCAGTAAAACATCACATGGCATATTTCCGCTAGCAATACACGAAGAGTAGTCTAGGAGTACATGTCGAGTGACACCCTCTGCGCACTCTCACTAGAAGGACATACTACCAGAGTCTCGTCAGGATAACTAAGTTGTGCAAGATACATCCCATGCACACAATAGGCGAGACTGAGACTTACAAACTGAGCTATCCCCAAGGAATAATCCCCAAAGCTTTTAGACTAGGGGGCCTTCTCTGGCGGTGTATTCCATATCATACCCTTAAAAACATTTATGAGCATGATGCATGTCAATCACGACTCCATGCATGCTTTTCTAATATCACATTTTCATATCTCATTCCCATATCATATTATCATGTCTCATCATCATAACACATCATCATTTCACATCACCATGTCACATTATCACGTCTCATTATCATATCACATCATCATGTTACATCATCATATCACATCATCACATCACATCACCATATCACATTATCATATTATCACATCATATTCACAATTTTCACAGAGCACTTTAATTCATATAAAAACATATTCATTTTCAAAATTAACCACATTCTCATGCATCACATCCAACAAGGAACAAAACAAAGCAATCAAAAGGCAAAACAGAAAACATTCATATTTTTCCTATTTTCTCATAGAGTTTCCCATAGGAACCCACAGAAATAAAAAATCATACATTTACAGTTTTAAAACTGAAATTAATCACTCATTCAAGCAATTTATACAATTAATTACATACAAGAGGAACAATAGATGAAACAGATACAATTGGGGAAAACCCCTCATACATGAGCATACAACAAATACAACAAACACAGGATTGGGGGTCAATTCCACTACCCAACATATATTCCCACACCCAAAGCGAGGTTTCTTACTCACCCCTTACCTGGATGAGCAGAAGACAAATGGTCTTGGTGTGATCTAAGATCGTTTCTGAGTACTCTTCCTTAGAGCTCTTTGTTTCTGCTTTTTTTTCCTAACCCTTCAGAACGCAAATGAGGCAGATAGGGTTAACGCTACCTGACTCCTTTCTTAAAATTAATCCATTGGGCTGGGTCAACCCAACCCATTTTCCTTCTCTTCTAACCCACTTCTCTTTTTCCTGAAAATAATTAAATAAAATAAATACATGTATATTATAAAATATTTTTCCTCTATAATAATAATATATTTCTGACCCAAAATATAATAATATAATTTCAATAACAAAATATCATATAAAATCAACCTTCTCTTAAAACATATAAATATTTATTTAAATATGCTAATAAAAATACTTATTTAATACGTACAAAATAATTGTCCAAAATAATAATTATTTAAAAAGTACAAAATAATATTCCTTTATAATTATTAAAATAATCATGACCAAATACCATATAATAATAATAATAATAATAATAATAACATTTTTGAAAACAGGTGTGTTACAGCCAGAAATGACCTCGGAGATCTACATCTAGAGTTTGGCGATCATTGAAGTAAGGGGGAGTGGGTAGTCTCGCTCTAGGCGTGGGATGTATGTTGGACAATGGGATTAGCCTCTAATCCCTTCTCTGTTGTTTGTATTGTATGAAGATGATTTTTCCAATTGATTGCATTATGTGCTTTTTTGTCTTCTATATGATTCTTTGTTATTCTATTTGATTTTGTGTAGTTGTATATGTCTCCAATTTCGTGGTTGGACATGTAATTGTGAAGTTTGGTTTGCTTGTGGGTTCCTGTGAAAATCCTAAATGTTTATTGTGTGAGTAGTTAATAGAAGTATATAATTATAATGCTAAATTGATGTTGAATTTGAGTAATTAATAATATAATAGAATAATATTAAGCTTTAATCGTGATTTTTATCGATTAGGTTGGAGTTTGGGGTTTTAGGTTTGTATTGTGCAACTTTTGCACAGTCCATAAGCCTTTCACAAACTGATATTGCATTGGGCATCAAATGGGCCATGTTATATGCCATTTGATCCATGTGAGTTTTAGTGCCAAGTGTGACCTTAGTCATGCTGGGTGCAAGTATGATAGAGAGGTTGTAGTTTCTCCGCATTGGGTGTAATAATAATTGTGTCAGGCATTGTACTATTAGAATCAGGTTTTGTGGTCTTTAAAAGAATTGTAACATTGGATGTTAGCTTTCAAATGTCATTGGAATCACCTAAAAAGAAGCTTTAGAACTCAAGTTATGATCAAATTAGTGAGAAAATGTCAGATTTTCATATTTAAGCTAAAATATTACGATTTTGTATTTTTTTATAAATAGTTGGTGACATAATTAGCTCTTGAGGTCAACATAGAAATTGGAGATAATTGTCTTAGCTTTATAGTAAAATTAAGATCAACTTGATATCATATATATATATATATAGCTCTAGTTAATGCAATTATAACATTACTTAACTGTAATAAGTGACATAAACAAATGTACTTAAATCATACTAAATGGTTTCTATTTCAATTTGGTGCACAATATTTAGATTCAATTTTAATATGCGAACATTTAAGCAACTTATTTTCTTAGTTTTCATTTAGTATTATTCTTTTTTTATAATTATTTCAAGATCTTTTAGTAAGTGATAAATGAAATTGATATTCTCTTAATTTCTTTCAATTATTACCATTTAAGAGTATGAATTTACATTGATTAATGATTTGGTATTTTTGTTTACATATATTAAATGATGGCTGAAAGTAAATCTTATTTATTCAAGAAAACATTAGGCATGTTTTTATTGTAAGTTTCTTTTACATGATATATTTTAGAATAAGATTGAATTTAAGATTGAATTAAAGAGTGATTTAATTTATGATGATAATAACACAAAATTTGAAATAATAAAATGTGATTAGTAGTATAGTAAATTATTGGGGTTGACACTAAATAGTAAATGGCATTTGCAATTATTAGTGGAAAAAAATAAGGTGGATACAATTTCCTTTGCAGACCTTTCCTTTTTCCACCAATCCTATTTAGGATGATTACATCTCTATTCATAAGTTGTCTTCAGTAGAACACATACTTTAACAAAAACTTAGGTATTTTTTTATTGGTTATCACAATTTGGCTGGTAGCTAAAATAGGAGGGAGTCACTTCTAATATAAAATAGTAAATGGATTTAACAAAATTTTTAATAAGAAAAACATTATACTTTAGGGATTGCCATGAAAGTTATAAATTTGGATTGATTAATAGTTTAGGATTTCTTTTTACAAGTTAAATTGTGGACTGAAAGAAAATCTTACTCATATAAGACAACATTTTGCTTATTTCTATTGTAAATTTCTTTTACTTGACATAAATTTGGGTATATTCTTTAATGACTATGTTGTTGCCATCACTCATTATCCTACTAACTAATTATCTTATTTTAGATATAAATCGAGTTATTAGGCTAATTATAGGTCAAGACTAATAAGATCAAGTGATGCTTTTTGACACATAATGAAAAAAACAACTTACTCTATAACATGCTAAATGTTAATTTACCAAGTTTAGAAATTTTTCATAAATTTTAATCAACATACCATATTGATTCCTTTAAGATCAAGAAGTAAGGGTTATAGATAAGTTGTAGGTAGTTTGTATCAAGAAAGATTCCTTTAATATAGATAAGTTGCAATCCTTCACTAAATAATGGTTATAAATAAAACTAAAATACTTCATTTTTATGCATGTAACATCATTATAATGCCTTTGTTTTTAGAACTTATACTTATGATAAGTGGTAGGTAGTTTGCATCAATGGAGATTTTTGAGAATCAAAAGTGGATGTATAAGAGTTTGGATGCTACTAAACTAATGAAAGTTGAGTTTGTAAATGGAGTGGCTGAGTTCATAGACTTTGCTACTAGTCAAGAGAAATTTCATAATCAAGACAATGGGATGAGATGTCCTTACATAAAATGCAAATGAAAAGCTTTCAAAACTATGATAGAAGTTGTGTGGGCCTAATTATTATTAGTCAACATACCACGATAAGTTAGAGTCACAAATTCATCAAGTGGTGGTTGAAGGTTCGTGTTATGGATCATGTTGACCCTTAATTGGCCAACATATAGAACATGGGTTAGAATGCATTAAGGAAAATCCTAATCCTAAAGCTCAAGAATTCTTTGATATTCTTGTAGATGCACAAGCACCATTGTGGGAAAGATGTGAAAATCACTCAAAATTATTATCTTCTTTAGCAGCTCTAAGCTCGAAATCTTATTATAATATGTCAGAAGGGGGTGTTTTAAACGAATGGTCCAACTTATGGGTAAGACAATGTCAAAAGACAACCAAATGGTCAATAATTTTTTTTTATCAAGCTATGATATTAGTGTGAAAAATGGGTTTGGATTGTTTGAAAATTGATTGTTGTCCAGAAGAGTGCATGTTGTTCTATAAAGAAAATTTAGATAAAACAAACTGCAAGATTTGTAGGGAAGATTGATACAAGATGTAACACCCCGAATTTTT